TTACCTGAGCAATGTGCGAAGCAATGGTGAGGCGACATTCGTAATTTGTGTGGTTTGGTAACACCCCCACGATCGTTAGATAATGTCCCAGTAGGAACAGGAACATTCATGCCAAATTTAAGGTCTGAAGCGTTATTGGCACTGAGCAAAGTCCAGGATTCAAAAGGACTTCCGGCAAAACAAATACAACCCGCCCAGCCACAATCCCAGGGCCATCAAACTGGTCGAAGAGCCCATCTCCAAGTGGGATATAACAATGAAGCAGTTAACCACCTTTAAGATGACTGGTTCAGTGGTTTGACGTAAAAGCCTATTTGATGTTATAAGTAAATGCGGTAAAGTGTTAGAACGGAAAGATAATTTGTGCTTTGTATGGTATGTAGACAATCCTGATGCCATTTATTCTTCAGTAAATGCACAAAATTACTGTAGTTTTTGTGGTCGTGAGCATAAATCAAACTAAGTAATTAAAAAAACTTTTTTCGTTGCAGTAAAAGAGCATGCTATGTGTATTCTACGAAGTTGTCTGTGTTTCAAAACATACACAGCTGCAAAATTACGTCAGTTACAAATCCTACTTCGTACTTCATGTGAAGTTTTGTATAATAATATTCTAAAACAAATCGACCAGCGAATGACTTCTCTTTTCAGCATCTCATCTTCATTAACTGGACCAGTATTACCTTCCAAGGTTATCGCGTGTGTGGATGATTAGCTGGCCCACTGGCGCATCTCCTTGTGTGGCAATGGATTCTTCTAATGTAAATTGCTGATATGGCTGCCGAATTTGTATGACTGGGTTGTTTTTGAACCATTTTTTTCTTACGTGGCTCTGGATGATGGAAGTGGATTGTTTATATGTATGTGCACATTTCTGTGGGTTGGTTCAGAGTTGATCGTTGCAAATGTCACAAGAAACCGAATTCAGTATTTTGCGGTGCCTAATTGAAAGGCATTTAATGTCTAGGGTGAGCTATGACTCGGTCTCTTTCGCGTACATATTTTTGGTGTCTTATGGTAGTTCCATACATTCTGAAGACCAATTTTGTTCATCCTTTTAGAATTACGATCTGTCAGTATGTTCATGTCCCCAAAAAGCGGTTCAACTCACGAAACATGAGCAACTTGCAATCACTCTATCGGGTGGCTCAAACTGCATTAACACAAATACACCCTCAGTGGGAATTTGCGTACCTGCCTTTCGGGATTAGAACCCCGCGACTGATGACGTGCTGCATCTGAAGGATCTGCGACTCCTTACGAAAGTCGTATCCTCTACCGGCACCATTCAGCGTTGGGATTTGGTTATTCTTGTGGCAGAACACATGGACGCAGTCACCGCTTTTGATACTGGAAGTGCTAGTCAAGTTCTCAATTTTACTCTTGATTTGATTCAACTAGACATTAGCATTACCGTCCCATCTGTGTGAGTTCTTCTTTTTATCCTGATTTTACGAATAAAAGCCTTAAAAAACCACAAATAATTGTCGATGGGTCATCACAGCTGCGAAAGGGAGATTCGGTGAGCAGAAATGGAGAGTGCATTCACCGCTCATTTCTCCTACAGATTATCATCCCTAGGCGCTAAAGTGGCTACATATGACTATGTGGGAAATAGAATAGATACTTGAGAAATAAAAGCGATGCGGGAACAGGAGGAGAAGGGAGTCGTATGCTTTTTCACGTCTTTGCAAGGTGAAACTGCTGGGGATGTCTGAGACGCCGGAAATTACACCTCTCTTCCAAT